GCGTTTCTCTGTCTCATTTAGAGGCGGCTAAACTGCTGCAGCCATGAATGGAAGATGCCCTTCCATTAAAAAGGAAAGAATTAAAGAATAAAACAAGTCATAGCAGCTGTCAGAATCTGACAACGGTTTAAAAAAGGAAAAAAAAAGAGCACTGTTCTGCTTTTTTCAAAAAAATTCAAGACATCTGTACATGCATGTTCTGATACTTGTTGCCATGAAAGTGATGCCACCATTGTTGCAACATAACTTCTTTATTCCCGTTTCATCTTCATTATTATGCTAATACAAATCACACTAATTGCGTGTCAAGCTGAAATCGAAGGGACGGGACTCGTCTGCACCTATATAGCACTCAATATTTGAAATGACGGTTTCAAAACTTGTCATCAACAAGTTCAAAGTATGGGAAATTAAAACAGTTATAATGACTCAGATGAAAGGAAAACTCACAATTGAGATTACTAATTAAGCCCTGTCAATGGAGATTCCTGATGAAAATTACTCCTTGCACCATGGCCATCATTTTTTTTTTTTTTTTTAAGAGAAATTCAGTTCCACGGGGAGAGCAAGGAAAAGATTCTTGGCAGATTGTGGGATTTCATTCATAAAAGGCAAAAATGTAGAAAATAAATATTTTTAGCCTTTCTCAAATAGTTCCACCCAGAGGTAAGAGCCATTGTTTTGATAACATTTATGGTTTTATTTGTGAGGATAAAGAAAAGCATGTATCTTTGGAAGATGAAAAATGTTAACTGCTCATGGAAAGAAAGCCTGGAAATTGACAGAAAAGGAGAGGCAGACAGATTATTTTTAGAACTTAAAAGACTCAGTGTTTTTAGAAGTTCAGCAAGCTCCACCATACACATTTCATTTATTTTTTATGTATTACAGTTTGATGAATGTTACCTTAGTTGTGGGGAGGTTATAAACAAACTGCTGTATCAGTGATGCCCCACTGCCAACACAGGCAGGCGTAGCGTAGTCTCCAGCGATTACAAATTTTTTTTTTTAAGATTTTATGTATTTATTCATGAGACACACAGAGAGGCAGACACATAGGCAGAGGGAGAAGCAGGCTCCCTGGGGAGCCCGAGGTGGGACTCGATCCCAGGACCCTGGGATCACAATCTGAGCCAAAGGCAGATACTCAACCACTGAGCCACCCAGGTGCCCGCGATTACAAATTTTAATGCCTTTACATTCCTTAACTCTAAAGGTTTTTCCTCTTGCCCCTGCCTGGTGAATGCCTGTAAACTAGAAGGGCAGGTGGGTCGCTTTTTGGAGCCATTCCTTCTAGAAGAGCTCTCATGAACCCCAAGCCCCAAAGGAAGGAGAGGGCACTGAATTCTTCCTCAGGGGAATCGTGTAGATGACTTTAATGCTCACACAGTGTAAGGTGCTGTGACAGCGACTGCATTTACAAAATGCCTAAAGCCTCAAATGGAGGAAATGTGAATTGGTTGTTTTGCCAACACCGTGAGAAACCAAACTACTTTGAAAACTTCACTACTTTGAAAATTCTTAGACCAAGACTCAGAATGACCTTTGCTCTAGTACCAAATTTAACTCCATAACATTGTTTTTGTCAATGCAGTGAATGCTTCATGATTCACGGGATCGCTATGAATTCTTATGTCCTTTTAAAAAAGGAGACAGAGAAGTGCCAGACATTCAGAGGGTCACGGCACAGTGGTTAGAAATGCCAGCCTTGGGTTGGAAGCCTGGCTCCACCACATCGTAACTGGGGGGCTCTGGACAACTTACTGGACCTGTCTGTGAAGTACCCTCATTAACTTAGAGGAAGTAATAATAGCACTGCCTCATAAGACGGTTGGAAGGATGACATGACCAGATTCATGCAAAATGTACAACACTGACTGCCATGTTGTATACACTCAACAAATGTCAGTTATTACTATGGGCCTTTCTAAATCCCAAGACATCAGAATTAACAATAAAAAAAATAAATCCCAGTCAAAGGTAAGGTTTCACCTCTGGCCCTGACCATGTGACAGAGCATGGGAACTAAGCTCGTGAGTCTCACATCTGCCAAGATGTGAGGTGGGCCAGGTCCTTCCCATCGCTGACTTCTCTGAGCCCACCTCCAGGGGAGATGTTTTGAGGAATAGTTCAGCACAGGATAAAAGCATCCTAAGTAGGCTCCTCAGAAAAGGGGGTCTCTATTAAATCCTCTAATTTCATTCTTCATTCTTTTCACAGAAACCTATACCAATAAAGGGCTCAGTGTTGAAATACGGTGAATGCCATGGGTTTCTGGGAAATTTGTGGTCCTATGGCCAGAGCAGTGGACGGAGGGCCAGGCAACTGGATGGTCTGCTTCTGATGAAATATTACAGCTTCAAGGATGTCAAATACTTGTGGCTTTCCTTCACATATGGCCTCGTTCAAGGATTTTGGCTTCAGTAGCAACCACCCTATGGCCTCTCACTGTCTTTCTTGGCATTGTTAATTGTGAGAGAGGACCATGCCCTTGTTGATCAAATCTGAAGAAATGAAAATGAACAGAGTTGGGAGGGAGAGGGTGGTCTGCTAGCAATAGTTTCAAGGGACTTGTGAACAAAGTGAAAACAGAGCCACCAGCATGGAGTAGTGGTTGTCATCACAAACACAGTTCTTACTCAGGGGCTGGCTTCTTGTTACGATGCCGAAAAGTGTGTGAGGCTCTTCAAACAGCCTAGATATTTTCTCCTGGGAGAAAAATCCCAATCCTACTAAACCTCCGAGTCTCTCATGAAATACAATTTAAATACCCACTCGGGTCTCAGACACTTGGAAGAAACATTTGGTCATAACAACAAGGAAGTGGGCAGTCCATTGTTTCTGTTTCCTTTGGCCAAAGCTGGTGCCTTCAGGGGATTTATGTGGAGATCAGAAGTGTAAAAATATATTCACTAGTGCACAGTAAAAATACAGATGGTCAGAGCAGGATCCACCATTTCCTTTTCTGTTCTTTACTTCTTAACCTACTGTTACCTGCCTTCTGCTCTGCCCACTGTCATGGACAAGGTCACTGGAGAGGTCCCTGGTGGTAAGTCCCATGGCTAATTCTCAGTCCTTATCCTACCTGCCCTTGCAGCAGTATCTGATTCTGAGCCAGTTCTTTTCCTCTGGCTTCTGGAATACAACTAGAGTGCAAGTCTCCCAAGGGAGGGGGCGATTTCACGGCACTATTCTTCACAACGCTTGGAGAAGTGCTTGCTCACAAGAGATGCTCCCTAAGTGTCTGCACAAATGACCCAAACTTTCCACTCATCTGCTTGTGTCCTGTCTCTTTGGCTGATCCTTTGCCAGACTCTCTCCTTTCCCCACTCCTTAAATGATGTTTTTCTGGGCTGGTTCTAGACATGCTTCTATTCCATACACTCATCGTGGGTGGCCTCATCTACTTCCTTGTCTTTGCTGATCATCCTTCCTGTGATGTTGCCAAGCCCTTTATCCCTGCAGCCTCTCACGCCTACTGACATCTCTGTTCTAGTACCACACTGACACTGCAAACCCCTCCTCCTACTCTGCTCCCTCTTCCAGTGACCAGAACCAACATCATCTTGATGGTCCAAACCAGACACATGGAGTTATTCTGAACCCGGCCCACCTTCCACACACACTCCCTGGCACTGTCCACCTCCCACATTCAATCTCTGGGTTCTGTGTGGCTTCTCCTTCCTAAATCTCCCTATAATCATCCTCCAACCATGAAAAAATCCACAAATACTTCTGAATGAATAAAGAAAAGTAGATTTCCAAAATATAAAGTTCAAATCAGACAGAATGAGAACATTCTAAAAACAAAATTTAAAAGCAAAACAAAAACAAAAATCTTGAGCCCAGCTTTCAACAGTTCAAATAACTTCCCAAGGTGACAGACGAGGGGCGTAACGGAGAGTATCGAGGTACTTTCGTGTAAGTAAATGTCGATTTTGGTCAGCTTAGGTTTACATACAGAAAGCTACTTCCCAAACTCTATATCAAACTGACTTAAGTTGAATCTGCCTATAATCTTGCATAATAAACCAAATGTGGTTCAAATATTACCTGTTGTGTAGTGACTCAGGAAAAAATAATTTCCTCATCCCTAATTCTTTAAGTAAAAAGCACTCTAACCACATCGTAGAGCTGGGAAGGAGTTTGAATCTCATCTGAGCCAACCTTTTATAGGTGAAGCTGAAGCTCAACACGCTCATTTTACTGGAGACAAACCAGGGCTCAGAGAGGCATGGAAAGGACTGGGGCTCCCAGCTGCCAGTTAGGGGTAAAGTGGGATTAGGACCCTGGCTGCTAAACTGTACCTGCCTGTCTGGATCCTAAGTAACAGCTTTTTTTTTTTTTTTTTTTTTTTTGACCTTTTGTGTCTGGTTTATTTCAGCCAGCATGATGTTTTTAGCATTCATACATCCTGGAGCATATATTAGCACTTCATTCCTTATTGTGGCCGAATCATATTCCTTTGTTTGGATATACCATATTTTGTGTATCCATTCATCTGCTGACAGACACTTGGGCTGTTTCCACCTTTTAGCTATTGTAAATGACATTACTATGAACACTGACATACACCTATCTGTTTGAATTCCTCTTTTCAATTATTTTAGGTATATAACTAATAATGGAATTGCAGGTCACAGGATAATTTTATATTTAACTTTGTAAGGAACTGCCAAACTGTTTTCCGTAATGGCTGTACCATTTTATATTCCCACAGCCACGTATGAGGGTGTCAACAGCTGTGCTTTCAAGACCATGTTGCATGAGAAACATTTCTTTCAACCACACTTAAAACTAATAAACAGAACTATTCCATTACCCAACAGAACGGGGCAGCTAATCTGAGGAAGAGAAGCTGAGGCAGGAGGCTCCTCTGGTCAGTGATGGGCTGTTCTCAGGCAGAGGGAAGAATCACAGCGGGAGGCAGGAGAGGAAGAGTGGACATAAGGGGTGGACTGCGGCGGGAAGGACAGGTAAAGGTAAGTCAGGGTACTTACCTTTTCCTTGTCGCTGGCTTCTCGAGCCACCGTAGAGCCCTGAAACACAAAGATGTCATTAAAACATGCACATGGGAGGCCTCGGGCTTCACATGTTTAAGGTATGCAAATGTTCCAGGGCAGAGCGCAGAAATGAATGAGCGCCAACTTTGCTTTGGAGTGAGCTTGGTCCCTTCCCTGATCACAACCCTGCCCAGTGGGCGCTCCTTCCTCTGCAGACATCCCTGTTGGCTCGTCTCCAATCCTTTCCCTAGCTCGGCAACCGAGCTGGATTCTCTCCCTGGTTCTTGCCCTCCAGTTGGAAATCAGAAAACCTGAGGAACCCTTGAACAATAACATTTTTTAAATTATTATTATTATTTTTAAAGAGAATAAGCACATGAAGGGTGGCAAAGGGCAGGAGAGGGAGAGAGAATCTTAAGCAGGCTTCACGCCCAGTGCAGAGCCTGATGCAGGGGTTCCATCTCACGACCCTGAGATCATGACCTGAGCCAATATCAAGTCTGACACTTAACTGACTGAGCTGCCCAGGCGCCCCTTGAATGATAACTTACTGACACTAGATCAAAACCATGCTCTGCTTCTTGCCTCGATTGCCAGAAATGGTTGGTCTAGAAGACGGAATCTTCAAAGATGAAATGGGCCCCTGAGTGGCTGCCATGGCCACTGGGGCATTCAATGCCTCTTTCCCCGCATGATCTTCCAGATGGGGGTCTGTCCTGCCCTCTGCCTGCCTTTCTCCCCTGTGTTAGAGTTACTGGTGAACATTTTTCCTCACCTACTACTATAAGTAAGACCCTTTGGTACTTCCTGTCCCCTGCACTCTGGGAATCCCTTCAGACATACACGTTTCCTTGCACCCTCTTTGTGCCAGGCCCTAGGCCAAGCATAGACATATAATGTGGAAGAAAACGCCATTCTTGATCTCAGCAATCCTACTCTACTGCACTGGTTTTCAAAGCCATGCCTTGGAGCTCTAGGGTTGTCCAAGAGGACCCAAGGCCACCCAGACACCACTGGGGGGTGGTGGGTAGAGCTCAAGAAGAGAAATGTTCCTTTGTTGAAGATGTTAATGCAAAAGAAAAGTTGGGAAACAAATGGCCAGTGAATTTCTAGCTATGTCAAGCTGACAAGAACAATTTTTCTTTGTGCTCCTCTGACCACTGCAGGATCTCACACAGCAATGCCAGGCATTCCCTGTAGAAATGGTTGGAGAAGGATCACCACCGATTCACTGCTCTCCTTTCCGCTGTAGTGCTGGCCACCCAGGCAAGACCAGGTCGGCAGAGTGACACGCTTGCCCCCCACCTCTTATATAGGCACGCACTGCCCTACAACACTTGCATTAGCCAACTGTTAAGGGAATTTATCTGCAACATGGGAAAAACTTAAGTAGCTTCTAGATCAGCCATTCTTAAAGAAATCAACATTTCTTCTCTGTGACCATCTTTCATCCAGGCAGCTCAGGCACTGATTAGGACGTAGCCTGTGGTTCACAGATGAGGGACTCGGACAGAGGAGACTCCTGGCTCTGGGGAAGAGAGCCCAGGCTGGAGTCATCCCCCTGGCCCGGACCCCACCTGGGGGCCAATCCTCCATCCCCCTGGTGCTCGGCATTCCTGGGTCTCCTGGATGTCAGAGACCCTGCTGTCAGTGCAAGGGAAATGCTCAAAGCTTCTTGGGGATGCATCAGAGGAGCACAAAGCTGACCCACGAAATGATGATGGACAATGTGAACTGTTCATGACGGAAATCGTGTGGCCCTGTTCCACAGTCACAGCATACACCCTCTGCACAAACTCGCAGCTGCCCCTTGAAATGGTCTGTTTTCCTTGTTTTTAGAGATTCTTGAATACAGACCACAAATATCTTCCCTTACACACTGATTTCTAACAAAGAATGTTCCCAAATTAAAACAACAACAACATCAAAAACGACTGATATTTGCAATATCTGAGCACTAAGTTACTGGTCAGAGGTGGAAACTACTCATTCCTCTTTGTAGTTTTAGCCAAGTTTCTAAGTCTGTGAGTGTGTGTGTGTGTGTGTGTGTATTTTCCCTCCTGCAACATAATTTACCCTGCTTCTGATTCTCAGAAACGCTTCATCTCTATGTAAATGCAGATCATTAGCCCGGGGGTGGGGTGGGGAGGAACACCTCATCCAAATTTAATTCAAAATAAAAACTCAAACAGGAGTAGAAAATAAAGTTAGTAAGTCAAGGCCAAGAGTTTGAGCCATGAAATGATGCCAGATGTCCAGGTTCCATCACAATCGAAAGTACTGGCAAGAAGAGCATTTATTTATTTATTTATTTATTTATTTATTTATTTATTTATTTATTCGTTCATTCATTCATTCATTCTACAAGCTAAAATAGTGAGATGAAATTAGTGAAGTTCGAGGCAAATTAAGACTATAATATCCAGGCTATAAGTATAATTTACATCAATCTTGATGTTTACTAGATGCTTGCTTGAATGAGGCACTATCTTAGGGGAATAAAAAAATAAAAAGGACCAAAAATTTGCTTTTTAAGGCACTTACTAGGAGAATGGATGAGTCATGACCAAAATTAATTGACCAGTTCGCATATGCCACACATTATGTGGGACACGACATATGTATATGTAAGTGTGTGTGTGTGTGTGTATGTAATTGAATCCTCGTAACAACCCAGTGAAGGTAAGAATAATCATCCCTGTTTTACAGATGGAGAAATGGAGGCACAAGAAAAGTTCAGCAACCCACACACAGCTAACAAGTGGTAAAACCAGGACAGATGGCCTCAGAGATCACTTACATATTCACTGATGTGATATCAGATTCCACATTGTAACTAAGCTTTGAGAAATTACCTTTTGTCAGGTTTTGGCATATCAAATAAGAAGATCCAGAAATTCCTGAAAAAGTTATTAAAACACCGCCCTCCCAATTTCCAACTATACCTGTAAAGTCTGACTTTTTTATACTCTTTAATCAAGTAACACTGCAACGGACAGCACAACCAGAGAGAACATTCCAACTGTCTCAAAGTAAGTCAGATGTTAGGGAGATTTGCAAAAATGCAAAGAACAAAAAAAGGCCACCTGTCTCACTAAATTTTTTGATTTGTAAGATATAGCTATTTTTCATAAAAATATGCTAACATGTAATGGTTTTTTTTTAATTTTTTTTTATTTATTTATGATAGCTACAGAGAGAGAGAGAGGGGCAGAGACACAGGCAGAGGGAGAAGCAGGCTCCATGCACCGGGAGCCCGACGTGGGATTCGATCCCGGGTCTCCAGGATCGCACCCTGGGCCAAAGGCAGGCGCCAAACCGCTGCGCCACCCAGGGATCCCCATGTAATGGTTTTTTATTGTACATAAAGTAAGCATTTAAAAATTTCTTACTTTAATTTCTAACATTGTAAACAGCAGTAGATACAACCTATATAAGCAAAAGCTTTGGGGAGTCCTCTTTTTAAAAAATTTTAATTTCAATATAATCAGCACACAATGTCATATTAGTTTCAGGTGTACAATATAATGATTTGAAAATTCTACACATTACTCAGTGTTCATCATGACAAGTGCACTCCTAATCCCCTTCCCCTCTTTCCCCCCTCCCCTCCCAATAACCATCAGTTTGTTCTCTATAGTTAAGTATCTGGTTTGTCTCTTTTTACATTTGTTCGTTTGTTTTGTTTTTTAAATTCCACATGGGTGAAATCATAGGATATTTGTCTTTCTCTGACTGACTTACTTCACCTAGCATCATACCCTCTAATTCCACCCACGTTGTCATAAATGGCAAGATTTCATTCTTTGTAATGGCAAATAGTTCATTGTATACGTACACTACTACTTCTTTATCCATTCATCTATCAAAGGATACTTGGGTTGCTTCCCTAATTTGGCTAATATAAACATGCTTCAATAAACATAGGTGTGCATATGTCTTTTCAAATTAGTGTCTTTGCATTCTTTGGATAAATACCAAGTGGTGGAATTACCGGATCATATGACAATTCTATTTTTAATTTTTTGAGGAATTCCCCTACTGCTTTCCACAGTGGCTGTACTGGGGGTCCTCTTTTAAGAGTGAAGGAGTCTGAGATCAAAAAATTTGAGATCTCCTAGCAAAGACCAAAGGGTAGCAAACTTTTTCTGAACGGGTCAGATGGTAAATGTTTTAGGTTTTGTGGTTCAAAACAGTCTCTGTGGTACTACGTGACTCTGCCATTCTAGTACAAAGAGCAACCACACGTGATACAGAAACACTGGCCATGGCAGTGTGCCAATCAAACTTTATTTACAAAAATGGCCAAGTTGGATTTGCCATGTAGGCAGGTCCCAGAGTGCCAGCTCCTACCTTGGATGTTCTCTCCCAGAGTCAGTGATCCAAAGAGTCAGCTCACCTCCGTCCCCTCAGAACTCCCGTTGTGTGTCTCCCACTCAAAGTCTTTGAAATAGCAATGTCATCCTCCCAGTGAAACCTTCCCCAACACCCTCTGTAAGCTGTGTCCCTTCCCCATTCTCCCGTATCTTTACTTCTCTCCATAGCACTTACCACTTCTTAATATATAATAGGAACTACTAGCTACTTTTACGTCCTATCTGTACCTGCCACAATGTTAGCTCCTTAAGCGCAGGTTTGGTCTGTTTTGTTTGTCACACTATTCCTAGCAAAAAAAAAACAACAAACAAACAAACAAAAAAACCAATGCCTGGTACCCAGCTGGTGCTCAATAAACAGCTTGCTGAAAATCAGACACGATACCTCCTAACATGTATACAAGTATTCTGGTAAAGCCAGTCAGCGATCCTTGCTTAACTCGGAGCCGAGCACTGCTGGTTCAGTTGCCTGGTGGCTTTAAGCTCTGAGCACCTAAGTGTTTAGCATGATCAATTACAACCTTTGCTTAATTACTTAATAAAAATTAACCAAAAATCTCACCTTTAAGTCGTATTTCCTATATACAGATAAACGGTGGCTGAACACATTTCTTGTAACAATCACGTATATTTCAACTCCATCAACATTAAGCCGGTACATGCCCAAGAACTGGGGAAGAAGCGTGATCCCGTGACATTCTACTATGTACTGCACAAGAGAGAGAGAAAGGAACACATTATGCAATCAAAAGGTGCTCATTCAGATGTAAACTATAACTCTTCTGCCTATGGTGTTTAGACAAAGTCAAAGCCTCCAACCGCTAAGGTTCTGGTTAGAGAAAATGGCCATGTTTATACTGCCTGATATAGGATCTGTGTTCACCATGTATATACATAGATAAGAAAATTGAACTTTATCTCCAAAAGAGATGTTTTTTCCTAACATTCCAAACTAATCTGTAAAGTCAAAACTTGGATATAATAAAGTTAGACAAGAGGGCAAGTGACTGGTCCATCTGCTAACTCCTCTAAAGTGAAAGCACACCCTACCGAGGTCCTCCCCCCCTCCTCCCCAGAAGCCCAGGTGATGACTCTGAGGTTGAGGGACAGTCACTTGGCCACTGAGATCACTCTTTTAACAGTGTTAGGAAAGTATAGCATCGAAGCTGTGATTAAAGAGGAAACTATGGAGAGAGCTGAGTGTTAGAAGCTGGGACAGTTATGTCCAGTCCTCATTTTTGTTTCTCACCCACCACACTAAGGTGTTGAGCTAAGCTGCCCGCCAGAGCAGCAGCATGAAAGGAAGGTACCACACTACCCCAAAGTGCTTGCTCCTGCTTCACAGACAGACGGAGGTACTCTGGCCCCATGTTGGATTTCATCAAGGCCACTGGACGAGTTCCATCTTTGACACCATTTCTGATTATAGTTGCAAAAACACAACATGAGTCTCAAAGTACTGATGGCCATCCTCTAGAGGCCCACAAGAGGGAGACACACCTCCTTGAAAGCTGATATTTATAAAACGAGTCCAATGGCACTCTCCAAAGGAAAGTCAGGTTTTCCTTTCTTTAAAATGAAAGGGGAGAGAATATTTCAAAAGAGCTCTTTTATGTCCTTGCCAGGTGTATGAAACCTCTAGGATAATGAATAGCATGAGTAGCATGATTCCAAAAATTGTAAAAATTGTTAAAATCGTACACGTTGTGCATATTACAGGGAGAAGCCTAAAAGAATGGTCACCAAGTGGTAATGGTGGAATTTGGGGTCACTTTGCTTTCTCCATCCCCCATTTAAAAAAATATGCTGCCTGAGTTTTTCCGTTTTACAATGAACATTTTATAAAAATAAAAATTAAAGTCCTTTGAAACTTTTTTAGTGGTAAGCACTGTCAATAATCAACTCAGATAATATTTAACCATCCTCAGAGTCAAAAAAAGCCTTTAGTTTTTGTCATTAAAGATGAGCAGCATTAGTACATGAGTTTGATTTTTGTCACCCAGAGTATTGGCAGGTTTTAAAGATGCTCTTGCTCTTTTTTTATCATACTGAGCATAACTGAGCTACACATTTTAATTTTTTAAAATATTTATTTATTCATGAGAGACACAGAAAGAGAGGCAGAGACACAGGCAGAGGGAGAATTAGGCTCCCTGAAAGGAGCCTGATGTGGGACTCAAGCCCAGGACCCCGGGATCACAACCTGAGCCTAAGGAAGATGCTCAACCACTGAGCCACTCAGGTGCCCCTAATTTGACATATTTTTCTGAGCAGAGTTTCACCTCAATTTGTTCTTCATGTGAAGTCAGGTCAGTGGAACATTTTCTATTTCTCTTTCAAAAAATAGTAAACTAACTTGAGATTTGCTAATACAAGATAGACAGTAAAGTGGTATTGGTTGAAAAGAAAACTTCTCTCATCTGATCTAAGGAAATAAAAAAGTTGTCCCTCACCTCTGAAGAAAGACAGTTTGGGTGAGCCTTACAAACATGGTGACTATGGGAGTCTACCCCATGTAAGCACGGTAGCAAGAAGGCAGGTTTGTGAGCTGGAAAGAACGCACATGCATCTCAGTGCCTCCATTCACCAGCTGTGGGATCTTGGGCAAGTTATTAGATCACTCTTCATTTTAGTTTCATGTTTTGGAAAATAAGTGCCATAATTCCTACCATGAAGGCAAGTTGTTGCGAGGATTAGTCTGTCTGAATACTTCACACGAAGCCTGTGTGCTGCACTACATTCTTCTTCCCTCTGCTGAGGACAGTGGTAATAGTGACAATTATTTTCATTCAAAACTCTCCTAAGAAATCAGCATTACACTCATCTGCTTTGTCCTCCAAATTCACTCACGAACTTGGATGGGCGTCCACTCTGAGGCAGGCTGTGCGTAGTATTTTGGAGGCCCACAGGGCATGTCTGTCCCCTGTCAGGGACAGACAGGGGGGCACACACCAGTTTCAGTCTGGCTGCTCAACCGCTCTTTGTGCTCAGGTGATTCCCATCTTGGCCTATCTTTTACAAGTGCTGGCAGAAGAATAAGTCTTTTTGATCAAAATCTCTGTACAAAGCCACAGAGTGCCATGGGACAGAGTAGATACTATGATTCAGGTAATGAATACAATACAGAAACTTTCTGAATGCTGTACCGGAAATCATCGACAAGCTCCTCCCACCCCCCCACCCCCGCCCCAAAAAACACCCACGCAGATTACATTCTATAATTCCTCTATTTAAGACTAAATAAACTACTGTGTATACAAATTAGATCAATTTAATCGGCATCTCCACATTTCTACACTTGCTTGTTCTCAAAGGCATTGTGTATCTTATGAGACTCTTAGATGAACACCTTGAAGAATACAGATTTAATAGAATTGAGCCGAGTAAAGAAACATGTGCAAGACCACAGCCCAGATTTAAAGCCTGTCGTATTAAGATTCCAGTACTGATAAGCAACAGTTGGTGCCAAAGGTTTAGAAAGCATTTATGTGTCAGAAGAGAAAATCCCACCCATTAACTGAATTGCCGGGCAGGGGCACTGGGAAAAAATGACACAATTTCATAATAGGAGAGGGACATTCCACTGGCTCTGTGAACACCAGGGCTGGGGGACTGCTGCTCTAGCATGGTGTGTCACTGCAGGTGGGAGCTGGCCCAGAGGCCTGGACGTTCACCCTCTTAGGGTCTTCACCAGATGACCCAGGAAATGCTACACACAAATTCTAAATGCCAGTGGTCACATCTGCAAACCACATGTACAGACCATTGGGGGTAATCCCACATCCACAGAGACTGTAAATTCATGGCCAGAGCTTTAGCCGGGCCCTTTGCACAACTTGGCCACATCATGCTGCTAGGAGCCCTTCTGGTCCAGCTCCATGTTCACTAGCTGTGTAGCCTTTGATGAATTATTCAATCTCTTTGTGCCTCTGCATTTGGAGAAAAGGGGTAATGAGAGTAATGAGTGCATCAGGGTTTTGTGAAGAATGTGAGGACCACGGAAACAGGACTGGGGGCACTGACTGCCCATAAAGCCAAGACCCTGGGGTGAAGGGTGGAAACTTCCTAGAGCACCTGATGTGTCTCTAAAATGCTCTCTGAGAAATGGATTTTCTTTTAAGTGCATGATGGGAACCCTCAATTTCAGTGAACGTCCCCAGAACAAAGACTTTCCAAAAATGAATAATTTTGTAAGTGTATGTATGTAGTAGTACGTAAACTACTCTTTGTGATATTTATCACAAAGAAACTACTCTTTACTATATTTATCTGCTTATAAAATATCTGCTTATATTTTTGAAATATAAAAGAAACGCGAAAAAAATTGTATTTCTCTCTCACATTGCTTTCAGGTTCTCAGAACTCTGAGCACTTTCCCTTCAAGAACTTAAACATCATTGACAAATTTACAAAACAACTTGAACACAAATGCTTCAAAAATAAGAAGAAAGGGGTGTGTTGCGGGCACTATAATATCATGCCTTTCTTCAATAACCAATTATTTGGCTGGAGTATCTTCCTTTTTTTGAATATTGAAAAACATCCTCAGCAGCTATTAAATTCTTTTTTTAACATTGTTGATTCAATCACAAGATAATCTAAGGAATCTCTGCTTCTTCCCTTCTATGTCCTTAATTCCCAGATTACGAGCATGGAGAAATAATTTAATCCTGAGGATGATTCCTTAAGAAAGGTATAAATATTTCCTCCACTTTCAACCACTGTTTTGATGTGGCTACAAAGCAGGCCTTCCCTACTGGCAAAGGCCATATAGATACATGGGTGTGCCCCATCCGCTGTATTAGTATCTCAGTCTACAGGCTAGCAGGTGCAGTGCCTAGTGTAGTCTGTAGACTCCTTTCTAGAAGTCAGATGAGTCCGCTACTTCTGTCCTCTGCCACTCTGAGGTCTTAAGGGAGATAAGGCCACGAACAGACCAAACACTTGGCAATGCTGATCTTCCATGTGTGGCTCAGATATTAAGAGCACACATCAGACAAAGAGATGATTCTTTTACAAGAGCATGGGCTGCATGCATACAATCCTAAAGAGTGTGCCTTTCAGTGAATTCTCGAATATGGCATTTTCCTGAGACATTCCTATCTGTGGCATCATGCTGGCTCTCTAGGTGACCTGCAGCCAAGGTCTCTCTCACATCTAATGAGAAGCTTGGTCTGGCACTTGTACTGGTGACTTTCAAATGCTTGCAGTTCCAAGAGGACAGCGAGCTTTCATCTGAATAGGAACTGAATATTTACTTCCCAATTTTAAAAGAGTGAACTTGATTATCATCAATTTTTATTATGCTTACTATATGGAGCTAAAACAATCACAATTATTCTTGGGGTCAGTGTTAAACCCACTTCATTACCTACATTTGCATTTTAAAATATTGCTTTTATTGGGGATCCCTGGGTGGCTCAGAGGTTTAGCGCCTGTCTTTGGCCCAGGGTGTGAGACCACCTGGAGACCCGGGATTGAGTCCCACGTCGGGCTCTCTGTATGGAGCCTATTTCTCCGCCTCTCTCTCTCTCTCTCTCTCTCTCTCTCTCTCTCTCTATGTCTATCATAAATAAGTAAATTAATCTTTAAAAAAATAAAATATTGTTTTTATTAAGTATTTTTCACTTTTGTATTTTCATGGCCGGATACCTCAAGGCACCTGTTATTTATCATAGAGTGGCTTCTCTTTTTTTCAAGAGTACTCTC